GGCCCTGAGCTGCTCAGCAGTGCCTCCTTGGAACCCTCAACATGGGACTCTACGTTTCATGCTCCAGGCTGGCCAGATCTCAAGTCCCAAAGTATATGCAGGTGTCCTCCTCCCAGACCAGCTGCAGGGTGAGGGCCATGGCTGCTCACCCTCTAACCCACTTTGGCCAAGCAGCACTGCCTCACTTGCAGTGTGCTCTCAGAAACCAGCCTCATGTGAATGTTTGCACACACATTCTTTGGATGTTGGAATTATTCTCCCCATTGGATGGAAGAAGAAATCGAGGACTAAGGAGGCTGAGTAACTTCCTCTGCAACTCACGGCCTCAGCGTGGCAGACCAGGTCTGGGACTCTGCTCTTATCCCAGCCAGGCTCAGGTCCTTCGCTGGATCAGCTGGGGAGGGGACGGGCCTCAGATAGGGTGGGGTGGACATGCTTACCTCACACCTTACCGGGGTGTGACTTGGAGTAATTCACTCCGTGCCCTAGTTTTCTGACCTCTGGAATGGGGATAAACTACCTAAAAGTGCTATTTACAGGGTTGAGCAGTGATTAAAGGAGAGACTGGAAAAGAAAGAGCAGCCACGGGGCACTCCCCGTCAGTTCCCACCACGCCTGCACACAGTAGGCACCCCGTAAGCACTTATTTGGTCTTATAGTTGGCACTAATCTTGACCCAGCACTTCTAACAACAGGGTGGCATGAAGAGTTAGGCCAGGATGGATTAGGGAATTCAAGGGGATTACTTAGTAATCAGCTAAACCACTTAAGCTGCCTGGGAAAAGGCTAGGATCAGACTGTTCATTAATTTATTCAATAAATGACTGTCGACCTGGATTGATGTGATGATGATGATGATGATGGCAGTGCTCAGTTATTGAGAATCTACCATGTGTGGGGTATTTTATATAGAGTCTCATCACGTCAGCCCTATAAGGTTGATACATTTAAGTTGTGTTGTTGTTCTGTAACAGGGAAGGTGCTAGTCGGGTCTGAAACTAAGGCGAGGCAAAAGAGATACCCAGGGCACACATTTAAGGAGACCCCTGCTGTTGGGGACCAGAGTCCCCACCCTAGTGCTTGTGGCGAACACTGTGAAGTGCTGCCCACTGTCCCCTTCTATGAAATCACTGCCCTAGGCTGACACGGTGGCTCTCATCCTGTAACCCCATCAGTTCAGGAGGCCCAAGGCAGGCAGATCTCTTGAGGCCAGGAGCTGGAGACCAGCCTGGACAACATGGTGAAACCGCATCTCTACTAAAAATACAAAAGTTAGCTGGGCCTGGTGGTGCACACCTGTAATCCCAGCTACTTGGGAGGCTGAGGCAGGAGAATCATTTGAACCCAGGAGACTGAGGTTGCAGTGAGCAGAGATCACACCACTGCACTCCAGCCTGTGCAACAGAGCAATACTCTGTGAAAGAAAGAAGGAAGGAAGGAAGGGAGGGAGGGAGGGAGGGAGGGAGGGAGGGAGGAAAATAAAAAAAGAAAGAAAGAGAAAAGAGAAAAAAAGGAATAATTACTGTAGTCCCTAGGAGTGCTATTGGTAGGCAGCCATCCCCTGGCAGCTCCTCCAGGGATGGGCTCACCTGGGGATAGCTGCCTTGCCCACAGTCACACCACTTCCCTGGGCAGCTCACATCCAATGACTGATGGAGGCAGGTGTATAAAGGATTAAAATGGCCCAACGCAGGCCAAGTCTGAAGGGCCCTTCTAGCTCCAGAGCTCTCAACAGGGCTGGCTGAGGCTCTTGCTGGGCCTGCTTTGTAGCTTCCTAGCTTGCTTCTGCTTCTGTCCCCTCCCTTCCGCAGATGCTGATGCTGAAGGCACTCCCTAATCCACCCCTTGCTAGCTGAATGTCATCTCAGAGTCTGCTTCCTGGGGAACCCAACCTGCAACAGTGTCACTGATGGAGTAACTCCTTTCTAGCTGGCTCTAACACAGCCTTCCTAAGATTCTAATACAAAGGTATCTCCAAAGGTATCTTATTACAAATCACACTGCTCTCAGTACTTTACCTGCATTAGCTTGTTTAATCTCCACAGCAGTTCTATAGGGTAGTACTATTAGCATTCCCATTTTATGGATAAGTTCAAGGGACGTTATACTTTTCTTGAAGGAAAAAAAATCCCACAAATGGCAGCTTGCTGATAAAATCCAGTCAACCAAAAGATCATTCAAAATAAAGACTATCAGCCTGGAAAGTTTCATATGGATAGAAAAAAAAAAAGGATGGAAAAATGTCTGTGTCATGACTCAGTTCCCAACCCTGAGGAAGCCTGATTCCTGACCCCAAAGACCCAGCCTAGTTATAAGAGTGAAATCCACAGGACCAAAGAGGCAACAGTTGCTTTAGGAGGCAGCCCCAGGGGAGAGGTGAGAGACACCCTGTTGGCACCACGGGAAGCTTGTGTGATTCCCTTAGGAGAGCCAAGACTCGGGAGGTGTGCTGACTTGCTTGAGGTCAGGCAGCTAGTAAGAGTTGCTTCTGGGCCAGTCGTGGTAGCTCACGCCTGTAATCTCAGCACTTTTGGAGGCTGAGGCATGCAGATCACCTGAGGTCGGGAGTCCATGACCAGCCTGACCAACTTGGAGAAACCCCATATCTACTAAAAATACAAAATTAATCCAGCATGGTGGCACATGCCTGTAATCCCAGCAACTCAGGAGGCTGAGTCAGGAGAATCGCTTGAACCCAGGAGGTGGAGGTGGTGGTGAGCCGAGATCGTGCCATTGCACTTCAGCCTGGGCAGGTGTCAAGCCCGTTGCTCTCCCCACTGCCTCTACCCGTACTCTTTCTTCCCCTGGCCGGGGATGGCAGGGTCGGAAGTCTCCAACAGGCACAGTGGCTCACACCTGTAATCCCAGCACTTTGGGAGGCTGAGGTGGGCGGATCATCTGAGGTTGGGAGTTCAAGACCAGCCTGATCAACATGGAGAAACCCCATCTTTACTAAGAAAAATTACAAAATCAGCCGGGCATGATGGCACATGCCCGTAATCCTGGCTGCTTGGGAAGCTCAGGCAGGAGAATCACTTGAACCCGGGAGGCAGAGGTTGCGGTGAAATGAGATCGTGCCATTGCATTCCAGTCTGTGCAACAAGAGCAAAACTCCATCTCAGAAAAAGAAAAAAAAGAAATCTCCAAACAGTGTCAGGAACTTGGGGATCCAGGCGGTGGGCTGCCCCAGCCACATCTACTCCCCTGTCTGCTGTCAGCAGTCTCTTTTGGAGGGATGAAGGAGGGAAGAGCTCAGCAGATGGACTCCCTCCTCTGCTTCCCTCTTAACTCTGGCAAGAGGCAGGTGTTGGGGTTTTCATTGTAATCCCTTCCATATGGAGAGCACTTTCGAGTTTACCAACTGCTTATCAACCCATCTCTGAATTTGTTCCTTACTAATTGTGAGGTTTATTGCTTTGTAATGTAGCAGAGCAGGGATATTAGCCCCATTTTACTGGTGTGGAAGCTAAGGCCCAGAGAGACAGGAATCAGGGCAGTGTCCAGCTCAGGGTCAAACCCTCCTGTCCTAATTCAGCCCTGTGGTTTCTGTAGCTGGCCTGGGGTTCCAGGCAAAGCCGGGGCAAATGCCACCCTCTATGAGCCCAGAGCTCAGGCCAGTCCCTTCCCAGAAGCCTCTCTTTCTCTCTTCATCCTGTCCTAGAAATTCCATGAACTTAGGGGAGACCTTTACTTATTTGCCAAACACCTCCTGTCGCCCCCCACATGCCCATCCTGGTAGCTTCAGTGCAGTGTGGCCTGGGAGAACACACAGGCTGGTGGAGGGCCGCATCAACAAACAAGCTTGGCATGAGAGCCAAGCCCAACTGCTGGCGACAGAAGGTCTCAGCCTGGTGTTCCTTTCCAGAGTCCCTGGAATCCACGCTCTCCTAGAGAATGCCCCACCACCGTCCTAGCACGGTCTGCGGCATCTCTGACCCAGCCTCCTCCCTGCATTCAATCTCTTTCCCAGCTTTTCTCCCACATCCCAGAAGCACCTAGGGATTTTTCCAGAGTGAGCCGCACTCCTGGGTGGCCAGGAACTCACACTGGTGCTCAGGACTCAGGCCAAATCCTGCCAGGTCTGAGCACACTCCATATCCCTCATCTGTAGAATGAGGCGCTTGCCTCACAAAGTTGTCGTAAAGCCATCTGACCTTTCTTGACCCTTCTAGACACCCCATACCTTCCCCACACATTCCTTGGACTTGTGTGCTTTCCTGCCTTGAAACGGGCTCTTCTCTAACTCCTAAAAACACTCATCACTCAAGGCTCTGTTCATCACATCAAATGTCACTACTTCCCTGAAGCCTGAACCGACCCCAACCCCAACTATTAATAGCTAACTGCTCCCTCCTCTGGGTGTGCCTGGTTGGCCGTTCTGTTGTCCTGACTGTACAATCTTCCCCTAGAACTGTTTTCTAGAACTCATCATAGTCTTCCTTGCAGCAAGATTAGTTTAGTTCCAGGCCTGTAACCCACCCCCTCCCACCTGGACTGTGATTCCATGAGAGCATGTATCAGGTTGACACAGGGCCTGGAAAAAAACCAGCGCCAATTTGTAGAATAATTACCATCATTTACTGAGAACTGCCCAGGTGTCTGGCACTGTGCTAAAGGCAGCATAACTACCTGAGGAGACAAGGACCATCTCCCTCTAGGAAACAGCCTCAGAAATCTGAACGGATGGCAAGGGAGAAAGCCAGGGTCCAAGCCACGCTGTCTGAACCCGGTGCCACCCAGCTCCTCTCTGGCAGAGCACCAAGCTCCCCCCACCCTAAGAGGTGGGAAGTCCAGTTACCCCACCACCCAGCGGCAGCCTCTGTCCTCCAGGTTGTGACACAACAATTGCACAATCCACAAGATATTTTTGAAATAAACTGTCAGTTTCCTCCCTTGGGCACTGCGGCCCCCATGCCATCCAGTGTCTTCAGCAGACTTGGGACTTTGGAAGCTAAACATAGTCAGGACTCAGGATGATAAGGAAATGAAAACGGCAAGACTGTAAAGTGACCCAGTTTTATTTTGGTTTTGGAGTCCACATAGAGCACTGCTCCACGGGTTCAGGCTCTACAAACTGCCCCTCCTTGAGGTGGGAGGCCCAGTAACCGCAGGGTCCAGGCAGCAGGGTGGGAGCTCAGGAGATGGTGGCTCTGGGAACCTGATCCCCAGGAGAGAGGGGACAGCAGGCAGAGGCCTGCAATGGCTCAGATTGAGGGGAGACGGAGGCGAGGGGTAGAGGACACGATCCAAGAACCGGAGCCCGAAAGCTGAAGCTGGTCCAGTCTCCTTCACTGGACGGCAGAGGCTGGGGTCAGAGAAGTGAAGCCAAACTGTCCTCCTGCAGCAGGCAGGACCTGGAGGAACGCCAGGGTCCTAGCTCGGCGCTGGGCACCGCGCACATAGCCGCCGCCTCCACCGTCGCGGAGAGCGCACGCGGGGCGCAGTCGCTGGGTGGGGTGTCTGGCGGGCAGTCGGGCCCCGGCTGCGTTCAGCAGCTTACGGAGCCGGCGGGCGGCGCGGATCCCAAGTCCCAGAAGCAGTCGAACTCGCTCTGGCCCAGGGAGAGCTCAGGCAGCTCGCGCACGCGGTGCAGCCCGAGCTCCAGCTCCAGCGACGTCAGCGCCTCCTCGTCGATGAGTTCTGCGTCCATGCCGCCCAGGGCGTGCGCGGGCGGCGGCGGGGCCGAGGCGCTGGACGCTGGCTGCGGGCCCGAGGAGCCTCCCGGAGCGCTGGGGGGCGCGGCCGCGCGGGGGCACAGCGTTGCCACAGGCTGCAGGTGCGCGCTGCCCGCGGCCGGCGGAGGCACGGCCGAAAAGGGCTGGAAGGCGGACGGCTGCCCGAAGGCCCCGTACGCCAGGGCCCCGGGTTGGGGGGGCGGCGGAGGCGGCCCCAGCAGAGGCCCCAGCGGAGGGCCCCGCGGCCTCAGCCCGCTGTCCAGGCCTGGGCCCGCGTACGGCGGTAGAGTCCTGAGTGCGTGAGGGCCGAGGGCGGCCGCGGCGGACGGCGGCCTCTGCACCAGGCGGTAGCCCTCGGCGAGCATCAGGTGGTCGGCCATGGCGGCGGGCCGGCTGCCTGCGGGGACAGCACGCGGTGGTCAGCGCCGGCTCCCCCGGCCCGGGCCAGCGGCTCCTCTGCGGCGGGAGACCCAGGCACCGTGCGATCCCCGCAGCTTGGCTGGGCGGAGGAAAACCGAGCCGAACTCGCGCCGCGGCCCAGCCCACTCCAGCGCACCCCGCGGTCGCAGCTACGAGTCGCAAAGACCCTCACGAGGCAGCTCTCCCAAACCTCTGCGCCGCGTCCCCGGGCTCGGCATATTCTTATAACCAGAGGCGGGGCTTCCCCGCCCTCGGACGCTCATTGGCTGGGCGAGACGCTTCTGGGCGGGCCGCGTACGCCTGCTTCTAGGATTTGGCCCCGTCCCCGCTGGATCCCCGCCCCCGCCCCAGGCTCTGAGCACTGCCCCGGGGCGGGGTGTTTGGCACTTTGAGAGGGATTCGGTGTGGCCTTCTGGGCTTCGGAGTCGAGGCTTGGCTGGGGTCGAGCTTGAACTGACCAGAAGGCGGGGTGGGCGGGCCAGAGGTTTAGGCCCTCGAAGAGCTTCAGGATGTCAGGCCCACACAACCTGTTAACTTTCCAGATAGAGACCAAGGCTCAGTGGCGGAAGAGGCTTCCTGGTCTTAATCCAAGTGAGACTCCAGTCCAGCCTTTGTGATTGCGCAGCTACACAGGGTGCATGCACCTTAGTGGTGCAGGGTCCTTGCAGGAGGTCAGCTGTCCATCTCCATAACCCCCAGGAGAGCCTGTTGCTCCACCTTTCCTTCCCACCGCACCTTGTCTGTTGAAGCATGTACTGAGTTGTTATTAAAGTAATTTATGGGCATGTCTCCTGAAGGACTTGTTCAGCTTCTTCTTCTCAGCACTTGGCCCAGAGCCTGGCCCAGAGCAGGCTTTTAGTAAAAGCTGAGTGAATGAACTAATGCTGGAATGAATTGCATCTCTCAGCTGAGCCTCAGTTTCTTCATCTGTAAAAGGTGAAGGACAGCAGCACTCTCTCTTTGTGAGGGGTAAGTGAGGGCATGTGCATACAGTGCCCAGCACAGTGCCTGGCAGTAGTAGATGCTCAAAAGTGTCCCTCAGATGAATGAAAGGCTGTTTAAATCCTGTCCCGAAGGGCCTTCCCTTGATAACAGCAATAATAACTTGGGCTTTTAGAATGCTTTACATTCTACAAGTATTTTGTTGGGGGAAGGGCATGGATTATCAGCCCTATTTTGGTGATAAGGAGAGGCACACAAAGAGAGAGTGGCTGTCCCGAGGTCACAGGCAGCCAGAGTTAGCGTGTGAATGCCGTGTGTTTTCCAAGGCCTTAGGGCAACTGGAGTCTTTCCCGTGGCCAGGAGACAGCCTCCCAGACCTTGCCCTCTACGCATTGACACACACACTCCCCCTTCTCTGATCTTCCTCCCCGCCGTGGCGTCCTTGGGACTTCCTGGAACTTGAGTTTATCCAGTTGACATAGAGGGGAGAGCCCTAGAGTGAGAGTTCAGAGGCCCGAGGTCTATTTTTTCCTCTTTCTTCTTATTTTTTTTTTAAATAGAGATGGGGCAGCAGGGGGTGAGGAGGGTCTCAGGCGGATCTCAAATCCCTGGCCTCAAGTGATCCTGCCACCTCAGCCTTCCAAAGAGTTGGGATTACAGGCATGAGCCACTGCACCCAGCCAGAGGCCCAAGTTCTAATCATATCTCTGCCACCCACAGAGGTGTGACCTCCACTACCAACGGGCTGTGACTGTTGAGTGTTGAGCGGGCAGTGTCACTTGATTCCCCAGGGCCTCAGCTTTCTGCTCTGTGAAAGGGAGATGGTGATCTTTCCTAGTCAACCTGAGAGCTTGTGGGAAGTGATAAATGATCATTGGTGTGGCCACATTTTTGCAAAGTGTAGAAGCTACACCCTGGAATTTATTCCCCTGAAGCTTTCTCTACAGGTAAGGCTTCTCACAGAAATTCCTAAACCTGGCCATACCTCACTTATCTGGAGATGTCAGGGGTAAGGGGTGGGTGAGTGGGGGTTTTGAGAAAGAATCTCTGTCCCACCCTAACTTCCTGACACAGACTCTCCGAGGATATTTTTAAATCATAAGAATCTGTATTTTCAAAAGTCACTCTGGGCTGGGCATGGTGGCTCACACCTGTAATCCCAGCACTTTGGGAGGCGGAAGTGAGAGGATTGCTTGAGTTCAGGAGTTCAAGACCAGCCTGGGAAACATAGTGAGACCCTGTCCCTACAAAAAATTAGTTGGGCATGGTGACAGGTACCTGTAGTCTGAGCTACCCAGGAGGCTGAAGTAGGAGGATTACCTTAGCCCTGGAGATGGAGGCTGCAGTGAGCCATGATGGGGCCACTGCATTTCAGCCTGGGTGGCAGAGATCCTGTCTCAAAAAATGAACAAGTAGGCCAGATAGGTGGCTCACGCTTGTAATCCCAGCACTTTGGGAGGCCGAGGCAAGCAGATCCCTTGAGCTTAGGAGTTCGAGACCTCTGTCTCTGCAAAAATAAAAAATTAGCTGGGAGTGGTGTGCACTTGTAGTCCCTGCTACTCGGGAGGTTGAGGTGGGAGAATCACTTGAGCCAAGGAAAGAGAGAGAGAGACAGAGAGAGAGAGGAAGGAAGGGAGGGAGGGAGGGAGGAAGGAAGGAAGGAAAAGAAAGACAAAAGGAAAGAAAAAGAAAGAAGGAAAGAAAGGAAGAAAGAATGAAAGAACGAAAGAAAAGAGAAAAAGAAAGAAAGAGAAAGAAAAAGGGGAGAAAAAAGGAAAAATAGAGTTGGAAAGATGTTGGATGCAGGGGTGGAGGGGGGAAGGTTGCAGTATTGCAAAGGATGGCCAGCCTAAGCCCCATTGAGACCTCAGGGTTTGAGCAGAGACTTGAAAGAAATGGGGTATTTGGGGCAAAAGTGGGCTGGGCATGGTGGCTCACGCCTATAATCCCAGCACTTTGGGAGGCTGAAGTGGATGAGTCACTTGATTCCAGGAGTTTGAGACCAGCCTGGCCAACAGAGTGAAACCCGTCTGTACAAAAAAAATACAAAAATTAGCCAGGTGTGGTAGTGCGCACCTGGCTCCTAGCTACTGAGGAGGCTGAGGCAGAAGAATCGCCAGAACCCAGGAGGCAGAGGTTGCAGTGAGGCAAGATGGCACCATTGCACTCCAGCCTGGGTGACAAAGTGAGACTCTATTTAAAAAAAAGAAAAAAGGCTGGGCACGGTGGCTCACACCTGTAATCTTAGCACTTTGGGAGGCCGAGGCGAGAGGATCACCTGAGGTCAGGAGTTTGAGACCAGCCTGAAGAATAGACCAATATAGTGAAAACCCATCTCTACTAAAAACACAAAAATTAGCTGGGCGTGGTGGTGTGCACCTATAACCCCAGCTACTCCGGAGGCTGAGACAGGAGAATTGCTTGAACCCAGGCAGCAGAGGTTGCACTGAGCTGAGATCGAGTCATTGCACTCCAGCCTGGATGAGAGTGAGACTCTGTCTCAAAAAAAAAAAAAAAAAAAAAAAAAGAAAGAAAAAAAAAAAAAGAAAAAAAAAAAAAAAAAAAAAAAAAAAAAAAGCAGTATCAGCAGAGGGAACGCTGGAGCAGCACTTCTAAAACTGTAGCAACAAGTCCCAAAGTGTCAGCATTACCAGGGACCCCATTAGAAATACACATCTAGGGTCCCGCTCCAGACACAAATTAGTTTCTATATCAGAAATGGAGCTCAGCATCTGTGTTTTAGTAAGCCCTGCAGGTGATTCTGGTTGAGGCCCTCTGAGTTAGGGGAAAGCCTTAGGCAGGAATGAGCCACAGCCCTGAGGGAGTGTGGACAGAGCACAGCGGAGCTGGGAGGGTAGGAGGGAGGCCAACTGCATGGGGTCTTGCAAGGACTTTGGCCGAGGAGTGACAGGATCTGGCTTTTGCTCTGAAAGCCTTCCTATGGTTGGACCTCATTTGTTTCTAGAGTTTCCATAAACGACTTCCTCCAGGCTCCTTGGATGCCCCAAGCACATTGTCCCCTCAAGACTTTTGCTGTGCCCTCTGCCTGGAATGCTCTTCCCTCAGACAGCCACAAGACCTTCCCTGACCACCCTCTATCCTCTCTGTCCCCTAACTCTGTTTTATTTCTCTCCTTAGCACCTACCACCATATAGTCATGCACTGCATTACATTTGGGTCAAGACAATGGTCCTATAAGATTACAATGGAGCTGACCAGTTCCTATCACCTAGTGACCTTGTATCCATCCTAAAGTCATAATGCAACACATTATGTGTTTGTGGTGATGCTGGTGTAAACAAACCTACTGCACTGCCAGTCACATTAAAGTATAGCACAGGCCAGGCGTGGAGGCAAGCCTGTAATCCCAGCACTTTGAGAGGCTGAGATGGGTGGATCACCTGAGGTCAGGAGATTGAGACCAGCCTGGCCAACATGGCAAAACCACGTCTCTACTAAATTGCAAAAATTAGCTGAGTGTGATGGTGGGCGCCTGTAATCCCAACTACTCTGGAGGCTGAGGCAGGAGAATCACTTGAACCCGGGAACTGCAGTGGGCTGAGTTTGCACCACTGCATTCCAGCTTGGGCGACAGAGCTAGACTCTGTCTCAAAAAAAATATTGCACATACAATTATGTACAGTACACTTGATAATGATGATAAACAACTATGTTTATGTATTTATGGTATGTTTTATTGTTATTTTAGAGTATACTCCTGCTATTTAATAAAAAAAGTTAACTGTAAAACAGCCTCAGGCAGGTCCTTTAGGAAGTATTGCAGAAGACACTGTTATCACAGGAGATGACAGCTGTGTGCATGTTATGGGCTCTGAAGACCTTCCAGTGGGCCAAGGTGTGGAGGTGGAAGACAGTGAGGCTGATGATCCTGACCCTGGGTAGGCCCAGGCTAATGTGTGTGTTTGTGTCTTAGTTTTTAACAACAACAACAAAATTTTGAAAATAGAAAAAACTTACAGGATAAGGATATAAAGAAATAAAATGGGCTAGGTGTGGTGGCTCATGCCAGTAATCCCAACACTTTGAGAGGCTGACGCAGAAGGATCACTTGAGCCCAGGTGTTTGAAACTAGCCTGGGCAACATAGCAAGAACCTTGTATCTACCAATAATAAAAAAATTAGCTGAACATGGTGGTATGCACCTGTAGTTTCAGCTACTTGGGAGGTTAAGGTGGGAGGTTCACCTGAGCCTCAGAGGTCAAGGCTGCAGTGAGCCATGATTGTGCCACAGCACTCCAGCCTGGGTGACAGAGTGAGACCCCGTCTTCAAAAAAAAGAGGGCCGGGCAAGGTGGCTCATGTCTGTAGTCCCAGCACTTTGGGAGGCCCAGGTGGGCAGAGATCACCTGAGGTCAGGAGTTCAAGACCAGCCTGGCCAACATGGTGAAACCTCGTCTCTACTGAAAATACAAAAAATTAGCCAGGCATGTTGGCACAAGCATGTAATCCCAGCTACTTGGGAGGCTGAGACAGGAGAATCGTTTGAACTCAGGAGTCAGAGGTTGCAGTAAGCCAAGATGGCACCACTGCACTCCAGCCTAGGCAACAGGGCAAGACTCTGTCTCAAAAAATAAATAGAAAGAAGGAAAAGCTGCACAACGTGTTTGTGTTTTAAGCTAAGTGCTATTGCAAGAGAGCTTAAAAGTTTTAAAGCCGGGCGCGGTGGCTCAAGCCTGTAATCCCAGCACTTTGGGAGGCCGAGGCGGGTGGATCACGAGGTCAAGAGATCGAGACCATCCTGGTCAACATGGTGAAACCCCGTCTCTACTAAAAATACAAAACATTAGCTGGGCATGGTGGTGCGTGCCTGTAATCCCAGCTACTCAGGAGGCTGAGGCAGGAGAAGTGCCTGAACCCAGGAGGCGGAGGTTGCGGTGAGCCGAGATCGCGCCATTGCACTCCAGCCTGGGTAACATGAGTGAAACTCCGTCTCAAAAAAAAAAAAAGTTTTAAAAAGTATATAACAGGCCGAGCACGGTGGCTCATGCCTGTAACCCCAGCACTTTGGGATGCTGAAGCAGGCGGATCGCACGGTCAGGAGTTTGAGACCAGCCTGGCCAATATGGTGAAACCCTGTCTTTACTAAAAATACAAAAATTAGCCGGGTGTGGTGGCACGTGTCTGTAGTCCCAGCTACTCAGGAGAAGGAGGCAGAAGAATTGCTTTCGGAAGGCAGAGGTTGAAGCGAGCCGAGATCATGCCACTGTACTCCAGCCTGGGTGACAGACTCCATCTCAAAAAAACAAAACAAAACAAAACAAACAACAACAACAACAACAAAAACTATATAATGTTACAGTAAGCTAAGGCTAATTTATTATTAAAGAAATAAGTCCACTTTGGGAGGCCAAGGCAGGTGGATCACCTGAGGTCGGGAGTTTGAGACCAGCCTGACCAACATGGAGAAACCCCGTCTCTACTAAAAATACAAAATTAGCCGGGCATGGTGGAGGGTGCCTTTAATCCCAGCTACTCAGGAGATTGTGGCAGGAGAATTGCTTGAACTTGGGAAGTGGAGGTTGCAGTGAGTTGAGATCACACCATTGCACACCAGCCTGGGCAATAAGAGCAAAACTCTGTCTCAAAAAGAAAAAAAAGAAAGAAATATTTTTTATAAATTTAGTGTATCTTATAAAGTCTATAGTAATGTACAGTAATGTCCTAGGCCTTCATGTTCACTCATTACTCACTCACTCACTAACCCAGAGCAACCTCGAGTCCTGCAAGCTCCATTTGTAGCAGTGCCCTATATAGGTGTACCAGTTTCCCTGTTATCTTTTACACTGTTGTTTTTTTTTTCTTTTTTCTTTCTTTTGTTTTTTTTTTTTTTTTTGAGTCGCAGTCTCGCTCTGCTGTCCAGGCCGGAGAACAATGGCACGATCTCAGCTCACTGCAATCTCCACTTCCTGGGTTCAAGTGATTCTTAA